CACAGCAGTTCGGCTGTCAGCTCCTTGTTTGCTGCCCATCGACGGAGGTGCTTCTTCTGACATTCGCCCAAAACATATTGAAGGTGAGGCAGTCTCGCGGTAGCCTGAGTCATCGAATCTTCAGCGAACGGAGTGCTTCTCGTAAGTCTCGACGGTTTCTGGCTTGCATCTTGAGCGCTTATTTAAAGAATCTACCTCTGTTTAACTCATCATTTTAAAGAACGCCTTGTGCTGTTGAACTGCTAATTTTGAACTGTGTCAATCTATTTGCTCTCCCATATTCTGATCTGATGGTAAATGTATTGATTTCAACTAAAAATGTTATACATTGATTTCTAGAAATATCAATTGATCTAACTTCTAATTTTGGATAAACCATTGAAAAATTTTTTTATTAATTTCATTTTTTCGCCAGAGGGGCTAGGCTAAAGCACTAACCACATTGCCAGGCGCCACTTATATCTGTCGCCAGTGGGCTGTTTTCTAATCAGGAAGGCGCCATCTAGGGAATCCCTTGTTGCGTCCCGGAATCGATACATCTGGTCCAGTCTATAATAAAGCAATAGATTTTATAGGGCAAAAAGATTTTGTCTTTCAACTACTTGAGGAAAGTACAAGAAAATGACTAACTCGCATATTTTCTGGTTTGCCTGATCCAGGAGCCATTGCTTATGCGCGATGCCTGCCTCCAGCTCGCCAATCCTAAACATCACTAATAACAGTTATTATAATGCTGACGGTAAATCACTGCTGTTCCTTCTTTAATATAACAAACTGCTCTTTGGATTTGAAAAACGCATTAAAAAACAATAGCCTAGCAGGCCAAAATCAAAATCTACTTAACATACACTCTATAATTTTTAATGTAATGTTCCTCAAACGTCAGTAATTATGTGGTGCTGTAAAATGCGGCTGAAAAATGTGTCACCCATAAATCTGTCGCGGAAAACTTGCGAAAAGACAAAAAAGAAGCCGCTCCAAAAAAGTATGATGAAATTTTTGACAGACGCAAACGCTTATTCAGAATATATCTCCCTTCACTGAAGAACTCGCCGGTGAATGCAGGATGATGCGGATATGTCGAATATCGTTGTTGAAGGGGACAGCAGTTAATGCCGTCGTTATTTCGATGAAACAACACAGCTCACGCTAGTGCCAGAAACAAACGATACTGGATACGTATAAGCAAATGACCGCCGCCGCCGAGCAGCACCGCTGATGTTTTGAAAGGGCTAGCCGCACCCTCATCGTTGATGGGTAAAGGGGTTAGTCGATGCTGCTAAAAGAATTTCTGGTGGTCGAGTAATGAGCGGGGCTAAAAGCCGCCGCTCAGAAAACACAGCTTAACAAATGTAGGGCCGAGTATGCTGCCACTCCCTAAACTGACCAGAATGCTGTAATAGTAGCGCTTAAATGGGACCCTCACCAAAGACCAACCCGGGTTCTCGGCATATCGCGACCGTTGCGCGTTATCCGACCGATAATTTTCCTGATTGATTGCCAGGTTGCTTTGATATGCCTTCGAAAAATGGTATGGCAACGAGGACAGCGGACACAAAGAGGCCAAACAGTACAATGCATGATTTGAAGCGGCTTCCCCCTTCGCTGCCCTTGGATGCAAAAGAAGGAAGCAAGGTGTATTTTGCCTTAAACAGTAGATCTACAGTAGAAATGGTGGGAATAAGACAAAGTAGCAAGTGATGAACTGAATGGCACATCGTGCCCGGATGTAAAAAGCGGCGGTTCGATTCTCTTCTGGTTCATAACCATTTGCAAAAAAGGGTGTCCGCTCTGTTTATGTTACACAACTTCCTATATTTTAAATAAATGAACTGGTAAGATGAGACTAAACACACCTCCACTTGGCGTCGTTCCAATACTGTGTTACCTCACCAAGCCGCCATTCGACCTTACTTTTCTCGTCTCTCAACTTATCCTCGATCTTTTTCTTCTGCTCATTAAGTTCCTCAAGTTTGGACCAGTCGACGCCATCCGATTCCGTATACTGTAAGTTGCTAATTCATAAGAAGATCGACAAATACAAAAAGAATAGAAATCTTTTTAAAACGAAATCCTACTATTGATTAAGTTAACTATATGTTCACAGTTATTCGGACCACAATCTTTTCCACTAAGATTTAGGAAAAAAGGTGATTAAAATTGATTAGTAAGCAAACAAATCTCTCATTCTGAAAAGTTTCCTTTACTCTCTCTCCCAGGGTAAGAAATCTTAATCCTAACTTCGATTTGTGCTACTTTTTTTAAAGTGCAACTGCTTTAAAATAAATTGTTTTCAGATGGAAGAGCAAAAAAATCACTTACTCGGTTCCTTTCTTCCTCGAGCTGCTTTTGCAGCTTAGCATTTTCATCGCGCAGCCAGGAGCACTGCTGATGTAACTCACCCAATTCACGGTCTTGATTTGCCACCCGCTCTTTGGCTAGCCATATCTCTTCTCCGGTGCCACGCTGCTTCTCTTCAAGCCAGGCTGCCCTGTCCCGTGCTGCTTGCAGCTCCGTTTCCATTTGCTTCATCTGCAATTAGCATTTCAGTTTTTAATCGCTTTTTCTAGACTTCCTCTTCACATCCTTTGGACTCCTTGTTATAACGTAAAAATTTCAGCTGATGACAAATCTCGACGTGCGAGAACAGCATGTGCAGCGCTAGTCATTTTTTTTTAAATTCTTTAAAAGTCTCAAAAATTCTGATCTAAGGGAGTAGAGAAACAAGCTCAACGAACATTACTGGATTGAACCCAGATGACGCAGCTCTTTTTCACTAGCTAGCATTTTTCACAAGCCTCAGAAGCACCAGTACTCGTTTCACCAAAAGCATGTATCTGTCAAAAACCAATGTTTCTTCTTTTTTTCTTATCCTTTAAAGACCATAGTGATTTGGCCACTCCACCAGTATTGTTTCGAACGAAGAACGGACTTGCAAGAGGGAACAAAACATCAGAACTAATAATTTTCGCTTTCTAATGTTTCCATGGTGTTTATCATACTTTTACAAATAGTCAATAAAAAGATAAACGTTCTTGAAAATGATCGCCACTTACCTTCTCCTCTAGCTTGTACTTCCTGCGATTCAACATTATTAGCTCGGATGATAAATCATTGTAATCTTCAGACAAAACCGACGTGTCAAATCCAGATGACCCTGAAATCGCTCGACAGGATATGTGCGGCAACCTGCTGAGCTCCGGAACCGCTTTTATTTTTGGTTCAAATTCAGAAAATTTCAGCACTCCATTAGTAAGAAGTAAGTAGGACTACTTCGAAAAGTTGTATTAGCCTCATCCGGTTAGCGCAATCATACCACTAGTGATTTCTGTTTCGATAAGCAAAATATCTTTTTCAGCATACAAAGTCAAGATCGTGGGTGCAGAGATCTGTATCACTAGAGTGCGTTTACAAGTCGACTGCGTCCTTACCAGGCCTTCCAGTCCTGAGCACATATAGAAACAGTTTAAAAAATCCTCTGTAGCTTCACAGAAATTTACGGTAATTTTGCGCGAATTTTGAAGTCCTAGGGCAATTAGATATTGCTCCACAAACCTTCAGAAATGCCTGTAGTCCCACAAAAAAAAAATTTCGAAAAATCTACGAAGTTAGCTTATGAATACAATTGCCTGCCTGCGGCATGGTACGAAACAGGCACAGGCTCTTTCGCTACGGCTTATGAAAAATATATAAAATTAGCCGCTCTCGTGGATCTTATTATCAACTATTATAGAAATCCGATACTCAGGATGTGA